AATTTGGCAAAACATTTTTATTGAACAGGCGGTCACAGCATGCAAATTTCGCCCAGAAACTGCACGTGAATGACAGAAACCTATATCAACCCATTCAGTTCGGAAAAACCGCTATTCTAAGAGTGTGCATCTCAGTGGGTGGAAGCGGGCTAAATCTTTGCCACAAAAACTGCTGAAGCCCTCGGTCTAACCATAGAAAGGCGAAATAATGATAGCCGGTAGTCCATTATCAGCAGGCCAACAGATTGAAACCGAGGGTTCAAAGTTAAGAGGTTAAACAGTAAGAAGTCAACCCTAGAAAACCAACAGATCGAACAACAGACGTCACTGCATAGGAGATCCTTATTGTCCTTAATGTTTCCTGTTTGCGATCTCAGTGAACAACGCAAACTTCCCAACAATATCTGAAAGAGGCATCCTTCTGTTTTCGAGGATGTGGGTAGTCGTGACACTGTTTTCTGGGGATTTTTAGCGTTACCATCGACGTCTGCCAGGATCGTGGATAGTTGGCTTGATAAGGTGATAAAAAACAAAGTAACAACGCTATATGGAGTATAATGGGAGTAGAAAAGCACTAGGTCTCTCATACAAGACATGCTTCCAGTAAAGAATGACTGCACATAACCTTAGGGTAGGAAATAATTCAATACGTTTGGTTATCATTTATTTTCTGAGTACGAAGTGACAGAACACCACTCAACACACTGATTTTTTCGACCAAAGTCGTTTGATAAGCTTTGAATAACTCTTGCACTCTAAATATATTCATTACTCATCACGGACTTTCTAAGAGATGAAAGATAATAGTGTATTTTGATGGGCTTCATGGTGAGCTAATCGATTTTATCCACTTCAAAGACCTGCAGATTTGAAGAGCCATAGAAACTCTACCATTCCATAAAAGGGGCGCAATTCCTTGTAAATGGAAAAACGAATATACATAAGGTGCGTATTTGTCTTCAGATTGAACCGTTAATAAGGAGGGTGCCGAAACTAGATCTCTTTATACTTGCCTACTGAGAATTCAAAGGTGACCTTATTATCACTTACAGCATTACGAATGGATAGAGTGAAAGTAATAACGTGGTCCCACCATAGGTTCACCATAAGCTCTTTCGTAGGTTGTCGAGCTCCGCGTGCACTCCCTTTACTTTTATCTCCAAATTTTCCGCACCTGAACGGCTTAATTCCTAGGGGTGTTCTCTAAGCTACCAGAGAAAAGCTTTCAAGGACAGCCTGATAGTAATGCAACGCTACACATGCGGTATTTCAGTGAATGTAATGTCAACCAAACTGAACTATGGGCCTCAGAAACTGCACAGTTAGAATGGTTTTCAGTAAATTTCGAATAAACAATTTTACGACTTTCACACAACATCTCCACTCTCACACTGCTTCCTAACATATTGATTTTGCACTATTTCTATTTTGCTTTTGTTTTCACACTCTTCAAAGACATTCCTGTAAACAAAGATGCTACAGAAACTTCAGCGTGAACAATCTCCTTGCGTCAAAAGAAAAAGTCTGTGTGGGGACATGGAATGTCCGCACCATGTACGAGACTGGCAAAGCTGCCCAGATCGCAAGCGAAATGAGGAGATACGGAATACAAGTATTGGGGATCTGCGAAAGCAGATGGAGCGGAAACGGACTCACCAAATTGTCAACAGGTGAGTCAGTGATTTACTCCGGTCACCCAGAAGACAACCACACACACACCGAGGGCGTGGCTATCATGATGTCACCAACGGCAACCAAGGCTCTGATACAATGGGAGGCGATCTCACCCAGAATAATGACCGCCAGATTCAACTCCAAAGGAAGAAAAGTGTCAATTATACAGTGCTATGCACCGACAAACAACGCAGACCTCGAAAAGAAAGAAGAATTCTACAGACAACTACAGGCAGCAATAGACAATACTTCAGCTGGTGACATTAAAATACTAATGGGAGACATGAACGCCAAACTGGGATCAGACAACACAGGAAGGGAACTCATCATGGGTAAAGAAGCTCTCGGAGAAATGAATGAAAATGGAGAACTCTTCGCCGACTTCTGCGCCTTCAATGAACTAGTGATTGGTGGCAGCGTATACAAACACAAGGATATTCACAAGGCTACATGGGTGTCACCAGATGGGCGAACCAAAAACCAAATTGACTTCATCACAATCTCGAGGAAGTGGCGGCGCAGCCTACTGGACTCAAAAGTAAGAAGAGAAGCAGACGTTGGCTCAGACCACTACCTCGTACAAGGAACAATCCAACTCAAATTAAAGGCTTTCAGAGAAACAGGAGCTGCAGATAGACCACAAGCCAAGTTCAACACTCAAAACCTAAAGGACCAGGATACAAAGGACATCTTTACTGCAAGCATAAAGGACAAAGCTGAGACACAAATCAACATTAGCGAAGAGGTCAGCGTCGAAAAACACTGGGACAACCTGAAAGCGGTATGGAGCGAAACCTGCATGGAAGTTCTGGGCAGAAAGAAGAGACAGGATAAACAGTGGTTCACTACGGAAACTTGGAGACTAATAGAAGAGAGAGGGATGGTGAAACGAAAGATTATCCAGTGCACCGACGAGCAAAAGAAACAGGAGTTGAAAGCAAGCTACAATACACTGAACAAAGGAGTAAAGAAGAGTTCCAGAGAAGACAAAAGAAAGTATTATGAAGCCATGGCCAATGAAGCAGAACGAGCAGCAGGCAAAGGAGACCTCGCAACACTCTACCAAACAACTAGGTACCTCTCAGGCAAAAATTCGTCACAAATTAAACCAGTGAAGGATGACAATGGAAAGTCAATCACCAAAGAAGTGGAGCAAAGGAAACAGTGGGCTGAACACTTCAAAAGGCTACTAAACCGACCGCCACCTACAACGCGCCCAACAATACCAACAACGGAAGCAGTATGACCAGTGAACATCAACCCCCCGAAGGGAACAGAAGTCCTGAAAACAATCAAGATGCTGAAAGCTGGAAAAGCAGCAGTACCAGATGGAATCCCAGCAGAGGCATTGAAAGTGGACCCAGAGACAACAGCGGACTTGATGACGCCACTACTGGAGAAGGTGTGGAAAGAAGGCAAAGTACCCGAGGATTGGAAGAAAGGATACTTATTCAAACTACCAAAGAAAGGAGACTTAAGTCAATGCAAGAACTGGCGCGGAATTATGCTCCTGTCCATCCCAAGCAAAATACTAAGCCGCATCATCCTGGAAAGGATTAAACAAGCCCTGGATGAAAAACTTCAACCGGAACAGGCTGGATTCAGGAGAAACAAGTCATGCATTGATCAGATCGCCACATTACGGATCATCATTGAACAAAGCTTGGAATGGCAGTCACCTCTCTATCTCAACTTCATCGACTTTGAAAAGGCCTTCGACAGCGTCGATCGAGAGGTGCTTTGGCAACTACTTCGCTACTACGGGGTGCCACCGACAATTATACATCTCATCCAACAGCTGTACGACAATGCTGCATGCCAAGTAATCCACAACGGGAAGCTCACGGAATCCTTCGAAGTGAAGACAGGAGTAAGACAGGGTTGCCTACTATCGCCAATGATTTTCCTGATTGCAGTAGATTGGATAATGCGAAAAACAGCGGGGAATGAGGAAACAGGCATAAAATGGACTCACACAAAAAACTTGGAGGATCTGGACTTCGCCGATGATATATGTCTGATTTCCCACAAACTGGAAGATATGCAAGCGAAAAGCAACAAGTAAGCAGAAGAAGCATCAAAGATAGGACTTCAGGTGAACATAGAGAAAACAGAGGTGATGAAGATTCCTGGGCAACACCACCAACAGCAACAACAACAACTGACAACAATCAGCATAAATGGGAGGAACCTGAAAGAAACAACCTCTTTTACCTACCTGGGAAGCATCGTTTCAACTACAGGCGGAACTGACGAGGATATCAAAGCAAGGATCGGAAAAGCAAGGCAAGCTTTCACTACTCTCAAGTCTGTGTGGAAGTCAACAACACTCAGCATCAAAAATAAGATCCGGATTTTCAACTCCAATGTGAAGTCAGTTAGTGCTACTATACGGATCAGAGACTTGGCGCGTCATAAAGAGCATCTCAAACAAACTACAGACCTTCATTAACTGTTGTCTTCGCTCAGTACTCAAGATCAGATGGCCGGCCAGAAAAGATCAGCAACAGGGATCTTTGGGAGCGAACCAACCAGGAACCGATTGTGAAACAAATAGGCAGGAAGAAATGGAGATGGATTGGCCATACTCTGAGGAAACCATCAAGTGACATCACTAGACAAGCCATTGCTCGAGTGGAACCCGAAAGGGAAGCGACGAGTTGGTCGTCCAAGGGTGACCTGGAGGAGATCATGTGAAGAAGAATTGAAAGCGTATGGGCAGACTTGGAGCCAGGTGAAAACTCTAGCAGAGAACTGAACGCAATGGAGACGCATGGCTGAAGCCCTATGTTCCTCTAGGAACTAAAGGAAACAATAATAATAAAGACATTCCTCGTTTTACAACATTCTCTTCATCTGTGATTATCATTACTACCGTATTTCTCTGATTTTACTGACTCCTCAGAAAGGACCGCAAACCACATGACAAAGTGTGACCTTTCATTACCGAAAAACTGAGTGTCAGTGTGGAACGCACACAAATTCAATAAAGATTAGGAGCCATTCCGTCATTACCAAGAAGCAGAAGCAAAGAAATCAATCTTGCCTACAGAGGATCTTTCGAAAGTTGGTGGATTGTAGACACGATGTAGTTCATCTGCTGGTTATCCAAATACAGTTTGTCGTTCATTTTCACATTATCACCGTGCATTAATAACAAGTAGATTGATATATTTAAATTTTACAGTGAAGGCAATAAAGAGAATATACTGTTCTGCATTATACAGGTTGATCTTCTATAATGCACAGTGCAAAGTTATTAATAAGTAGCTCAACATTTTGCTCATAATCAAATCACTGCTCACTGAGTGTTTTAACTTTATAGTGAAATTCTGAAATTATGTGATCTCACGACACAAAATCAAATTTCGAAGGTTATTTCTTGCAGGCGTTTTAATCCTAGCGCTATATTCCACTAATGTTAGTTTTGTTACTCTTTCTTAAAACACCTTTACTAGATATTTTGAGTCTTTTTGAAAATATGACTGTTGGATATTGTCAGTTTTTATCCTAAGGCATACTTGCATAGTCCCAACGAATTGTTAAAGGCTCTATATATATAGCGTATGTATACATACTTCAAGGTAAAGGATCAAATTCAGCACTTAGTGTGTACTCAAGGAATGAATTGAACGTATTTGTTTAGCCTATTCCTAGTCAAGAAAGGGGATTATTTTTGGGGATCTTCCTACCTAGTACTACAGGACGTCGGGGAAAAATTCAGATGTACTGCGGAAACTCTGAGACAAACCTCATGTTAATGATAAGAAACACATTTGTCTCTCGCAGCATTCATTTGCGATCAGATGTTATCACGCATCACTGCGTCCCACTAATAGTCTTTATCATTTATTCAGGTATCGTCTTGGTCTCATTGCATTTCAGATGCCTAACTTTCTGTTCTTAATTTTAAGGCCTTTATCATTGACCCACACGTCCTAGTGATGCAGAAAAGGTGGTTCACAAGCTGGAGACATCAGGCGAGTAAGCCTGTCGGCAATATTTCCAAATTGTAGTATTATAGTAGTCAGTATGGATGGCAGAGTTCCGCTTGGTAGTTTAGATTATTCCAACTTGGTGACTATACATATAGATAATCAAACGTCGTTAGATGTCTAGATTCGTCACATACAGTGTGACTCATGGCTATGTGGAAGACAAAATGTAGTTAAATTTGGAATAACAATGTTTACGTTGGTTTCTTTAAATGTAGCTTTACAAAGTACGTTTCGTGATGAGTGGTCAGGTGACAGAATTTAATTTGTCTTGGAAATCAAGTTATTTAAACTACATAATGAAATTTCATTATGTAATGTGAAAAATAATTACATGCTTAGCATCAGGTATACAGGATTGTAAACACCGAAGGTGGTGTAAATGAACAATGCAAACAGATTATGACGAGTGATTGAACTGCCATCAGAAAGACTGAAACCCCTATGTGTCCGGTAGTTATGCTTCTTCGTACTCTTACGAAATGACGGTTTTCAACCAATTAAGTTTTGTTTTAGATATTTGAAACCATTGTTTATTTGAATAGTCCTTGTCAGATTTTAATTTCGTTCCACATCTCTACAATGGCATTTTAAAAATTGATCAGTCATTTTGTTTAACTCAGCAAATAATTTAAGAAGTGTATTGTCATAAACAAATTGATGCACCAGCAGAAATACTCTTTTCCCAATTAAGGAATATTTGCTTCAAAAAATCTGACTGACAAAGTATACTGCTAGTGCTGTAGGGAATTTACCTCTGGGAACTACGTGATTTGACGCTTTAATGTGTTTTCAACGTATTAGGTTTTAAAGGACAGATATTATCACAGTTTAAAGTTAAACTTAGTCTATCCTTGTCGAATGCCGGGAAAGTATGTCTAATCAAGGTACTCTACTCGAACTCACAGCTATATATAAGAGCGCATGATGAAAACCAGTTGTGCCCGTCACGAATGCCCATTGCCTCCATTTTTACTGAATTCCGTCGTAGATCTACAAATGAATATGCCCCTAATCAACTTTAGCGACCTGGAGATTGACGTGCTACTGGGAGACAGACTTGTCTATATAATTCTTCTAGGTGAATACACTGGTAAGATAAATGTTCTGAACAGTTATAGCAGAAATCTTGGTCTGTTTGTCAGCTGATTCACTCTTATAAAATGCAATGTGATACTGCATGCTTGATCTGCACGGACTTTCACTAGATAAATGGGGAGTGGAGTGGTTGAGGATGTCACTGTCTATATTTATGTGCCTTATTAAGTAAGGCGACTTGAACTGAAGCACTTCTGTGCGAATTTCTACGTTGAGAACCCTGTCAGTCAAATTTATCGATACTGTTTCTTGGACACTATTGGCTATACATCGGTTTCAGCACTTAGAATGCATATTTTTGCGTTTTCTGTTCTTTAGACAGGCTTCGCTTGTTGTACAGGGGTTACTGGGAGAATCAGGCTCTGAATGTTGTGAGTAGTTATTTAGGTATACTACAGGACAATAATGTCAAGATAAAAGGTTTTGTCACGTTATTCGAATTTTGCGAAAATAGCGATCATATCACAATTTCTGTTCAATATGTTAGTATTTATTACCTTCAAGTAGAAAGCTGGTCACATATGCGTACATGATTGTGTTGAATTTTAATATGTTTTGAAGTCCTTGAGAAGCTGTATCGGGAGTAACGCCAAGATTGACGTTTTTAGCTTTACGTTTGAGCACTCAGATTTGGGCAGCACTTTAATTGTTAGAAATAATTTCATCTCCCCCGTTATCGTTTTTCAATATTTATGGCAGAAGTATAACTTTCTAGTGAATTGCATTAAAATCTTAACCACATGCTAATTACAGAGGCTATAAATTTGGGCTTTCTTGCGAATTGATTGGCCGGTCAACGTGGAACTATGCATTAAAGTGCTGTAGTTCAATTTGCCATAATGCAGAGAGGACAGAGATATATCACGATTATATGCAGATTGATATCATTAAATTTCACACATACAATGTTCATAACCGTTATCTGTGCACTCATTTGCATTTCATTTTTTTATATTCAGTAAAACAGTATGTATAAATATTACTGGTTACTGATTACTAATAAGTAGTTAATATTTCGTCTAAAGGCTTAGCAAAAATATTTTAGAAAAAAATCGTATAATTGTCTGAAAACTTTTTATTTTTCATAAGGAGTTAGAACATAATACTTACCGTAGTAACTTTTATCCGTAATCTTGTCGATACATTAAGTGAATATACTAAATTCACTATCCTTTTTAATGACTTTATCAATTTTACGGTGTACTGACCAGTATAAATGTGTATTTCTTATTTACACATAAAGTAATTAGTCTACATTGTTTTTCTTAATTTTTCAGATCCATCTTTTATGATTTAGCAGGAGGTAAACAAGCACTTCCTCTCACATCAAAATGTACAGGAGATATCTTTTAAAAAACCGATATTTTGACATTGTTATTTTCCTTCTTCTACTTTTTATTTTTGTCATTTTAATTTCTTACTTAGTGTACATTAGTCAAGGCATAAGTTTAAATTATTTTGAACACCCTTTAGATGTCGACTTGTATATGATATATGAAAATGAGTTCAAGACTGCCGTTAATAAAAGTTTAATTAAACCTATCAATCCTACTAGCTTTCATACTATTCTCAGTCCAAAGTATTCCTGTGAATTACCTGATCAACCTAATGTGTCACCTGAACTAGTCGTTTTTGTTAAATCAGCATTAATGCACTTTGAGTCACGTAACAGCATACGCAAATCTTGGGGAAACCCAAACTGTTTTCTTCATTTTGGCGTACGCACAAGAACTTTATTTGTTCTTGGTAGATCTGAATTTACTGGTTGGGAATATTCAGACATACAAGGTTTGGTGAATGAAGAAAATTCGAAGTATGGTGATATTGTTCAGTTTGATTTTGTTGAAAGTTATCACAATGTCACGTATAAGCTTATAGCAACTTTAAATTTTGCCGTTAATGAATGTTCTTCTGCTCGATTTCTAGTTCTGATTGATGATGACTTCATCATGCATCCACCCAATCTGCTTCAAACTATTTCTGAAGTTACTGAAACGCATTATCCTACATATATAGCTGGGGATGTATTACGTGTGCCCAGACCAGTAAGAATTCCATTCAGCAAATGGTTTGTTCCTTATTCTGATTACCCTTACAGTTTATATCCACCATTTCCTTCCGGTGGTACTATTCTCCTCAGCAAACCTGTTGCACAACTTCTATCTGTTGGATTGAGATATACCAAACTGCTCCCTTTTGAAGATGTCGTTATTGGTCTTGTATTATATAAATTGGGCATTAGTCCAGTACACTTAGATGGTGTTTTTTCAGTTCGTTTTTCAAATGGTCATATTGATAATCTTATTAGTATTCATGGATTTCGAGATCATTCTCTTTTCAGATCTGGTTGGAATGAACTTGGTCTACAGAATATTTGTAAAGATTAATTTTTTAATTGATGGATAATCTCTTTTGTTTTTGTACTATTTATTTGTAAAAATTGACTTTTATATCAACTATAAAGATGTTTTTAGTGATTTTTTCCATTTACATTCGATTTTTTTTGTGGTGAGTTATACTGTTTTTTTTTAGCCTGAACCTGCAGTTGGCATAAACACTAGTAATCTCATGCATTAGGCTTTGGTCTGTCAGATAGCGATACACAGATAGATGTGTGTAATAATATAGTCAATCCTTGGGTAGTTTATACGCGGTGTAATACGCAGCATATCTTCATTCAATGGTCGTAATACTGATGGGAGTGATCAGTCGGTTTTATCCATATTTTATCTTCCTGAGAACCTAAAGTTGTAAGTGTTCTGGATAACTCAATTGTGATATCTCTGGTTGCTGCGTTCAGTGACAGTGGTTCGAATATGACTGGAAGCATTAACCCTTACGGTTTTACAGATACTCCTTGCTGACAAGTGTCAATAAGCATGTAACATAGATCCTGAGATTCCTCTCAATTGCCTCCAATCATCTAATTTCAAGGATTATTATAGTCATTTATGCTAGGACAGTGCACTATCAAATGCAGTCTTAGAAAGTAGACTGATGTAAGGGATTAGAATGTATTCGATAGAAAGTTCTCAATTCATGCTTCCGAATCGTTGATAATAGTCACTCAGCCGCATTAAAAAATGGCTTACTGACTTTTATGCTTGATTTTGAACCAATGGGCTCTGGGTTCGAATACCAGTCCATATATTTCAGCCTGCAGAACTTGCTAGTCTCATTATTTCTCACTCAGTAAGTGTGACTTATAATCTGATATTTAAAAATCGGATCCCAGTATGTGAATGCTTTCAGTGGAACATACTGACCGGTGAAATATCCATACTTGAAGTTAGCAGTAAACTTTCACAAGAAAATCAGTATAATGCTGGGAAAATTGCTAATTTAGTATGGTTTTATGTGGCCCTTCAGAATCTTAACGTCATCTACAACGGAAATCTTATTTAACCGCTTGGTTCTTCCATAAAATTTATTGATACTTTGTGGAATATTTTCATCATAAGAATAACTAGTTTCATGATAGCATTCAGGTCTTTTCCTTGTTGAAAAAAGCATGTCCTCTTAACTAGAGGAGATGACCTTACCTAATTAGTAGTAAAGTTTCTCGAGATCATTTTTCTCATTGTGAAATCATGGGAGATAAGGGTGAATTATTGACTGTCTCAGTGATCAGACTTCTCTTAGATTCAATTGAAATAAAGATTCGACTTCACAGCAAACCAATATTCATATTAGTTTATAAATATTTAGCCCGTAAAAGTTTCCAAAATTGATTTCTTTTCCGTTTAAATGAGATTAATTGGAGTATAGAGAAGGTCAGGCTAATGCTTAAAGAAGGCTTGTTACATTCAGAAGAAAAGTATGTTACCATTGCGTCGCGCACGTTTATGCTTACGTCTAAACGGACATAAAAAACTTTTGGTTAGCGAAGCAGTTACGTCCCCAACTAGGTCGAGACTCGGAGTCCCTACTTAGGGAAGAAATAGCGAAACGAGTATCTGAGGTCGATAGCAGGACTCCTCCTGAAGAAGCCTGGCACAACATAAAGTTAGCTGTAAAAGCTGTTAATAACCTGAAACCTAAAGTTACTAAGAGCCAGTGGATTTCTGCCGCCTCATTCGAACTGATTGACGCGTGAACACTGATTCCGGTGATCTCCGAATATGATGAGGAGCGAAAGCTACTCAAACGCAAACTAACAAGAAGCCTCCGAAACGACCGTGAATAGTGGTGGGCAACAAAAGCAAAGAGATGGGAAAGGCATCGGCGATTGGTAATACCAGACAACTATTTAGACTTTATCAGGGAAACAGGTGGTAAAGGGCAAATGATAAGTGAAACAATATCTGGGAAAAATGGCACCATAATTAGCTCTCAGGATAGACGAATAGAACGTTGGAAAGAACACTTTGAGGAGAAATTCAAATGGCCTACAGCTATGCTCAACTTACCGAACATCCAACACCTCCTTGAATGGGATATAAACACAGGTACTCCGTCCCTAACTGATGTTACTAAGCCTATCACTAATCTTAAACGAGGCAAAGCTTTGGAACCTGATGGAATGACTCCAGAGGTGTTTAGGCATGGTGGAGACAGCTTACTGTCTGCGTTAACTATGGTATTAGGGAGTGTCTGGGAATCAGAGGAAGTCCCGTCGGGTTGGTGTAAGTCATTGATTATCTCAGTATACAAGAAGGGAGACAAATCTTCCTGTGATAATCACAGGGGGATAAGCTTGACTAATACGGTGTCTTAAGTTCTAGGCTCAATAATAATGCGTAGAACAAATGGTTCACGCAAGGCACAAACACGAGAGAGTCAGGCAGGCTTTAGACCAGGAAGAGGGTGTATTGATCATATCTTCAATCTTCGACAGATTCTGGAGCATAGGCACACTCACTGGAGTCCAACAATCATCATATTTCTTGAACTAAAGGCGACATTCGATTCTGTTGACCGAGAGATACTCTGGTGATGTTCGGCTGTGAAGCCAGTGTCGAGAAAATACATTGCACTGATCAAGGCACTCACTCTACTCGAACTCATGCAGCCAGGTGAGGGCTTACGGCGAGTTGTCATCTGAATTGGTGTCCGTCAGGGATGCCCATTATCCCCATTTCTATTCAATTTCATCATAAATGTACTAATGGAATTAACCCTAGCTGACTTCAGCAACTCAGGAATTGACTTGTTACCAGGGTATAATCTCGTTGACTTAGAATGTACAGATTATATAGTCCTGCCTCCTAGGTGAAGACGCTGACAAAGTGCAGAGTCTTCTTAACACCTTGAGCTGCAATCTGTGAATGTTTGGTATGCGATTAGCTCCCGCCAAATGTAAGATGATGCTTCAGGACGGGACTACATTGACTCCTAGATTAGAAATAGGGAGTGAAGTGTAGAGCACGTTGACCACTTCACTTATTTAGGAAGTTGCATCAGCCAACGCCAGTTGGTTGATCGCTGATGAAATTTCAGCACGGATACAGAAGGCTTGTTTCGCATATGCCAGTTTACTCCGTCTCTGGTCTAGACGTGATATCCGGCTGTCAACCAAAGGGCGTGTGTACAGCTCAGCAGTCCGCTCCGTCCTCCTTTATGGCTGTGAGACTTGGCCATTGAGAGTGGAAGACATGAAACGGCTAGCTGTCATTGATCAAAGGTGCCTGCGTTCTGTCTCCCGTGTGAAGTGGTATAATAGGGTGAGCAAATTTGAGGTTATGAGATTTCTACAGATTAATCCAGCTATGAAAACAAAACATATAGTTCAGAGAAGAGTTTCTTTTCGGCGAATTCATTTTCTTAGCTGTACAATCGCAAATATATTTGGACTATTTTATATGTATGTGTACATTAAGCTTGTCAAACAAAACTACAATTGGTTATGGTTATTTTAATTAAACAGGTGAGAATTAGTAAGTTTTGGGTGGAGTTGCGTAATACAAAATCAGTCAAGAAAATTGGGTGTTAATGAAACTAGGGTAGTAACAAAAGTGATGAATTGTCACAAACAGTTGTTAAAAAGGAGTTACGTAATAAAACTAGTAGTTTGATGATTTAGTTGTATTCAGGATACACAGGAACAATGTAGAGAATACGAAATTACGTAAGAGTTCTAAATGAATACAAGAATTATAAGCAATTTAAGAAACAGGCAAACAAACAAAATTAAGTCATCAAAAACCAACAAAGTTGTTACCATGACAGTAGAAGTGGTTGAGTAATTCTCTTTTCTATGCACAGCTCCGATTTTTCTATGTGAGTGGCCAGAGCTTCAGCAATACAAAGAAGACGAAACCGTATTGCCTTTGGAAGTTTATTCTTGACTCTGTAGATTACTTTGATGGAGGCATTTGTTGAAATGGAATGATTAGTGTTAACCAGGTGTTCAATTATCTCACTCCTTATTGCACCACTATTACCCTTTCGCAACCATGCTGGATAGTGTTCTTGAATCCTCTTAGGCAGGATGCGCGTCCGACGACCGAAGTACCTGGCTCCACAGCAGCAGGTGAACTGATATATGCACATAGAAGTGGTCAGATGCGGGATCTTGTCCTTAAGGCTTCTGCATATCAGTGGGCGATTGGAGAACACTATGCTTAGAGTTTCTGCAAAGAATGTTCTCAGAGATGATGCTATCCTTCTCTTGAGAATATCGCTTGTTTAATCTCCCTTGAAATCCAAGTTCATGTAGGGTTCCCTTTTCGGTGCAAGTGAAGTTTCATTTCTCCAAATTCTTGGTTTGATATTTTTGTCAATGAATCTTGGTGGGTATTCTATTCGGATGTATTTTTCTCTCAAAAGATCTAATTTTGTTTCTAGAACGTCAGGAGTAGAGAAACTTATTTTCAAACTATTAAATATTCCTATTATTCCTATTAATAAAACAAGACATAAGCAAACAATGTTGTTTTCAATTAAATCTTCAGGCTTTACTCTAATGTATATTGCTTTATAACACAAACATCCATAACCAATCACAGTGGATTTCTGGATTTTAAAAAATGTGATAAACGTAAATATGTCAGTAATAACGGCACTTATAATACCCTCAGTGATAACAATAATTATAAAGTTATTAGTAACAAAAGTACAAGCAGGTGGCGATAAGAACAATAAAGATAGTATGTTAATGCAAACATCGCATCCCGTATATTCTAACTAAAAATTCATAAGTTACATTTCATACCTTACGACATTAGGGTTACTTTAAAATAGAGATTTTGGAAGTGGCAAATGGCATTTGGTTACCATCGTTCATTTTGCTTGTATAATTGACCAGATGCTATAACAACTGGAGAAATGGTGGCCCGATATAGAAGTCTCGAAATCTGGTGTCCAAAATGATGTGTTGTGTAGATTCCAATCAACATAAAATGCATTGATGTCAAGCGCCTAAGAATTTGACGTACCCAGTAAGAGATGATTAATTAGAAGGCATTTAAGTGCTTAAAGTCACAGCAGGATTCAGGACATGCTTAAATGTAAAATGGCTAGCAAAATTCGATCTTTT